TTACGGCCGGAAAAGACCGATTTCGTTTATGCTTTTTAATAAAAATCAGAGTAACTTCTTAAGAAAAGTATTGCGGAATTTGTTCCCAAAACAAAATATGATATAATTTTTATCAAAGCATTTCTTAAAGAAATGTATTTTCATTACATTACAAAAACTCGGGATGTCAATCATCGATACAGACCATAAGCATAAACCAAAAAGAAATAAACATTCTAGGCCACAAAACACAATCTGGCCTCAAATCCATAATCTCTCGTCAAGTCATCCAACTATGCTTTTGCCACTACCTGTAATACAAGAAAACTGAGTGGGTCAGGCTGGGGAGCCTGGTGAGCATATAGGGTTTTCAACCCACAATAAATAAGTTTATTATTTTCAACAATCATTAACCCGATTACCCGTTCCCGTTATCCTCACCTTACGTCCCTAAAGCATCTATCATAAGGGACCTATCCTAAGGAATTTCATCGGGATGGACACTACTGCTAAGGGGATTCCTCAGCCATAAGTGTTCGTAAGGAAACCATGGGGGGGGGGGGGGACGGAATACACCGGTGAACACTTCGTTCACAAACACCTACAGGTTGCGACCCTGCTAGCGTTCCACTGGACTTCCTAGAAAAGTCTGTGGTCGTCATCCATACTCCGCTAGATGACTGGAGCAACGTCAACATTGAGGCCTCTCATTATTTTATTTCACCACACACCAATTATTTTATCTACCCATGTTCTACCCAACATATTTGTAGATATAAAATACATACATGGTCCAGATCTGTAAAATAAAGCTTATATCTTTTATCCAGCATAACTTTTAAAGCATAAAATACATATATAGTCCAGATCTGAAAAACAATGTTTACATCCTTCATCCAACATAACTTTCAAAGCATAAAATATTTATACGGTCCAGATCTGAAGAAAAAGTTCAGATCTGAAGGAAAGAAGTTCAGATCTTTCATCCAACATAGATCTCAAAGTATACAGTCTAAATCTGATGAAAAAGTTTAGATCTGAGATGAGGAAGTGTAGATCTGAAGGAAAAAGTTTTAGATATGAAAGAAAGAAGTATAGATCTTTCATCCGGCAAACATCTCAAGTAAACAGATAACATATATTTACACATAGCACATAATTTATATAAAATACTTCATATCTATGTGTAAGATGAAAGTGACTATACACTCACCTGATACGGAGTGATTTGGACAGCACCTCGCTTCTAAAAATAACCTTCTTTGACGAAACCGGGAAGTTTGCTTGAAAACCGGGCTCCGCGCGGGCAGAGTTTAGAGAGACTCCGGGCTCTCCGAGCTCTCCGAGGCTTTCTTCAAGTGCTAGGGAAGTTTCCTAGGCTTTAGGGGAGTTTGGGGGAGTTAGAGAGAGAGTTTAGAGAGAGAAAATGAAGGTTGAAGGTGTGAGAGAAGTGTTGAACCCGACACCTCTATTTATAGGTTGTAAAACAGCTCTACTCGACGAGTTGGTACTTCTACTCGTCGAGTCCAGGCTAGGTGTCACCATTCTGGTGGCAGAACGTGGGTGGCCCACATTGTGCCACGTCACCCCTTTCGCAGCAGCACCCTGCCGACTTCTAAACCCCGTAACTTTCGCATACGAGCTCTGTTTTTGACGTTCTTTCTATCCACGCGTAGGTAAAAACAAGATCTACAACTTTGCTTTTGACTTCGTTGACTAATTCTCGACCAATCTTAAATTTAACAGTAGGAGGAGATTATACTGTTAAATGACCGCGAAGAATTCGTAACTCCTTTATACGGACTCCGTTTTCGTCTGTCTTTTTACCGTTGAGTTCCTATTAATGAGATCTTCAACTCTCATTTAGGCCGCGTAAGCCAAAAACCGCTCGAACTAAAATTCGAGTTTCGGGTCGTGCACTGCTAAGCCGAATCTTAGAAAAATCATAACTTCCTCATACGAAGTCAGATTTGGGCGTTCTTTTTATGGATGTTCTCGGTTTAACATATTTCTACGACTTTGGTTTAGATTACTAAGGCCAAAAAGTTTTCTATCGTAAATTCACTTTTTACGCTTCCCGGTGTCGCGTCGGTTCCATCGTGAAACTTCGACGGGTCATAACTTCTTCGTTATAACTCGGATTTCGGCGTTCTTTATATCCCCGGAATCCTTGTTTCGACCACTACAACTTTATGTAGAGATATCGGGTTTATCTCACACTTTAATTTTGACGCTTATTTTTATCCTTTATTTATTATAAATTTTATAAATAAATAATAAGCATATAAATTCACATAATACTTAAATATTTCATCTTTATTACTTAAAAAAGAGTTACAATAGTTGACCTAGACAATTTGATCATCTAATAATGTTTAGCCCAGAAACGCGTGCGTTACACCATCTACCATCCATCATAACCACCACCCCACCCCACCCCACACACACCACCCATCACCACAACCACCACCACCACCACAACCACCACCCCCCACCACTCAAAACCAACTATCACCCACGACCCCCATCACTCACCACCCACCACCACAACCCGTCACTATTACCCACCACCCTCCCCCACCACCACAACCCACCACGCACCACCACTCATCTCCACCACCCACTACTTACAACCACCAACACCATATATTATTAAATGCATACAATGGCATAAATCGTGTGAAATTATATGTATATAATCACATAAATAACATGTAATTAAATACGTATAATTATATGTGATTATATGTATCTAATCACATATGATTTATATAAATAATATTCATTTTTATGTTTTCAATTCAATAATTCTTCTCATGTATTTAATCATATCTGATTATATGTATTTAATAACGTATGATTAATGTGAACAAAGATTTGTTTTTGTGTTTTTTGATTCAATGGTTGTTCTGTTCTATATAATCACATATGATTATTTGTATCTAATCACCTATGATTTATATAGACAATATTATTTTTGTCCATATAAATCATATGTGATTAGATACATATAATCACATGTGATTAGATGTATTTAATCACATATGATTAAAGTTGACAAAAAAAACAAATACTGAATCAAGAACGCGATAATAAATCTTATCCACATAAATCATATGTGATTCAATAGTTGTTCTCGTGTATTTAAATACATATAATCACATAAATCATATGTGATTATATGTATTTAATCAAATAAATCATATGTGATTAAATACATATAATCATATCTGATTATTTGTATCTAATCACATATTATTTATATAGACAAGATTCAATTTCGATTTTTCGATTAAATAATTTTCTCATATATTTAATCACATATGATTATATTTATTTAATCACATATGATTAATATGGACAAAGAACAACTTTTTAATCAAGGACCTAAAAACAAATTTTGCACACATAAACAATATGTGATTTGAAATCGAAAACGCAAAACAAGTATTCTTCATATAAATCATATAAGATTGGATACATATAATATAATCATATGTGATTAAATAGTGAAAAACAACTATTAAATCGAGAAAACATAATTGAATATTGTCCTCATAAATCATATGTGATTAGATACATATAATCGTATGTATTGTATGTATTTAATCACATATGATTTATATGGACAATATTCGTTTTCGAGTTTTCGACTCAATATTTGGTCTCGTGTATCTAATTTCATGTGATTATATGTATCTAATCACATATGATTTATATAGACAATATTTTTTTGTCCATAAAAATCATATGTTATTAGATACATACAATCACATATGATTAGATATATTTAATCACATATGCTTAAAGTTGATTAAATACATGAGACCAAATATTGAATTGACAACACGAAATAAATGTTGTTCACATAAATATATGTTATTAGATGTATATAATCAAATTTGATTAAATACACAAGAACAGTTATTGAACAAAATACGTGAAAGTGAATCTAGTTCAAATAAATCATATGTGATTGGATACATACAATCACATGTGATTATATGTATTTAATCACATCTGAATAATGTTGACAATATTTATTTTCATGTTTTCTATTCAATAGTTGGTCTCGTGTATTTAATCGAATGTGGTTATATCTATATAACCACATATGAATTATGTGGATAAGATTCGTTTTCACGTTATTGATACAATAGTTGTTTTTGGTTATTTAATCACATGTGATTATATGTATTTAATCGCATGTGATTATTATTGACCAAAAAAAGCTTTTGAATCGAGAACGCGAAAACGAATCTTGTCTATATAAATCATATGTGATTAGATACATATAATTAAAATACATGACAAAGTTTATTGAATCGGAAATGCGAAAACAAATTTTGTACATATAAATCATATGTGATTGGATACATATAATCACATGTGATTATATGTATCTAATCACATATGATTTATGTGATTATATGTATCTAATCACATATGATTTATGTGGAAAAAATCATTTTCGCGTTTTTGATTCAATAGTTGTCTCTTGTATTTAATCGCATGTGATTATGTCACTACTAGAAAATGGACTTTCAGCGACGGAATTGCCTGTTGAAAAAACCCTTGTCGCTAATTGCCAGCGACGGATTTAGCGACGGATCTGCGAGGGATTTGCGATGACACACATTGCTCAATCAAACCCCAAATTCCATCGCTAATCCGTCGCTAATAACCGTCGGTAATGCATTGGAAATCCGTCGCTAATCTATCACAATGAACCCAACAAATCCGTTGGGAATCCGTCGCTAAATTCTGTCGCTATAACTTTTTTTATAATTAGTTTTTCTAAATAAATAAAATACGATTTTTATATAAAAGAATATTAAAATTGAACTACTAATTTAAAGATTCATATTCAACTACCAAAATAAAGATTCATATTCGATTTCAAAGAATCGAAAAACATCACAAAAATCAAGTGTCATTCTAAATCATTTTCAAAGTATCGAAACCAAGTCACAAAAATCAAGTGACAAAGTCTAAATTGATTTCAAAGTATCGAAACCAAATCACAAAAATCCAGTGTCAAGGTCTAATTTGTTGGGTAGGTTACTTCCTTGGGTGAGTTTTAGGATGTCATTATAAATCTTGGTAATTTCTTGTTTTTGGGCCTCAATTTCTTCACGTTCCGCCGTAAACTCATCATTTATCTCCTCACGAATACGGTCAACAAAAACCTACAAAACAACAATAATTATGTTTACACATAATTAAAAATGAAACCATATATCCAATAAAAGGCAACATACTTTCAACTTGAAAAAAAAACATAAATTATTAATACTAGCAACATACTTTCAACTTGAAAAAAAATACAAACAATTAAAAGAAAAAATAACTAAGTTTAGACCTATATAAACTCCAAGTCATATCATTCAATTAAAGTACTATACTTTCAAGTTGAAAATATATATCAACAAATAACAACCTAAAAATACATATCAACAAATGGAAATCTACTTTCAACCTGAAAATATATATAAAAAAAATAGAAACCTACTTCCAACCTGAAAATATATCAACAAATAGTAACCTAATTTCAACTTGGAAATATATATCAGCAAATAACAAGTTACAAATAACAATGTACTACCAAATTGAATTCCAATAGTTAGAGGTGTTTATAGTAAAGTAGTAAAATAGTGAAAAAGTAAAAACAAACCTCTACATTGTTCGGACTTGTACTTGTACTTGGGGCTGCTTGAGAAGGCACCATAAACTTGTGTGGATCAGAAACAGAGCCAAATCCAAGTGCTCGCCCTTTATTGATACCTCCAGTAACTTTAACCCAAAGTTCATGATCATACGGAGGATGGCTATCAATATCATCACCATATTTAGTCACCATACCATCCGCATATGCATCCTATTTATCATAAACCCAATAATGTCAATTAAGATTAAATATATAACATCATACTTAATTAATTACTTTATTAAAGAGTCAAAAAAATACCACATTCATCATAGTTTTAGGTGTAACATAGTCATTGTTTGAAGTGCTTTCTTTCGGATTTTTAGGGCGATGTGATCTATCAAACAGTTCAAGGCGAGAAGGTGGGCGCTTCAGCTTTGATTCCTACAAAATTTTGAAAAAATGAATCAAATAACAAAAAAAATATGTTGAGAATTCGAAATAAAATGACAACCAACACAATTTACAAATATCTTACCAATTTGTCCCTATGATGAGAAGTTGGAATAGAACCACAACAGTGTTTGGAAATCGAACCGTGTTCCATTTTGCTTCTATTTGCCTTTCCTGACTCCGACTTACGTTTTCATTTGTCCTTGTTCCAAACTTCATCAATCATTTTTTCCCAGTATTCTGATCTTATCCACTTCGGGTTAAACGACTTCAAAAGGGACATATCACCTGATGCATTGACATTTTTCGCCTTAGCAAGTTTAACAGATTCTTTCCGTGCATTTGTCATTATGTCAGAAAAACAAATTTTCATGACCTCCGTCCATGCATCATGTATAACTTCATCAGTGTACTTATAAGGATCCCATTGATATAGTCCCTACATAAACATCACTTATATAGTTAGTTATATACCAATTAAACAATATTTAGTGTATTGAATTATAAACATTATTTGGTGTTATTGAATTATAAATAATATTATGTACAAACCTTAAAATGTTGCCATAATGCCTCACTATTAATCGCATCAACATCCTTCCATATGGTCCATGGGCCATTAAACATCGTCTTCAGTGTAGATAGGATCGATCGGATGACAGATGCATCTTCAAATCTAGGGGGAAAAAGCACACCACTAACATTAGTATCATAATTAACATGTAACTATAGTTTATATACATATACATACTGTCCAGCAGTGTTGAGGCAAATCATCTTCCTCGTCGATGGGTGAATAGTAATTTGATCCAATACATTTGATCCTCTCGCCCTTTGAAATGAATCAACAAATTGATCAACAGAATTAGATCCCTGACTTGGTATAGCTCCACTATGAGCACTACCAATAGCCGACTCGTGGATGTTTCTATTTCCACGAGCACTAGCACGACCACCACCACGTGATACCATATGAAACCCTGAAAAAGAGCATTATCAATGGGTGATTCATATATATGTTTCTAAAACAATACACATTTAAATCACAAAACATATAACTATAAGAGTACATAGGGATACGTCATGAAACATGTATGTTTTCCAAAATTAGCATTATCCAAAAATACATTGGTTCATACTACATTATAATTAATTAAATTCATCTTCATCTTCATCTCCATCTTCGTCATCTGAACTATCTGAGTCAAGTTCTTCCTCTTCGTTCAATTCGATATGTTGTTTGCTAGGGCCATTATCAATAACCTGTTCTTCTTCTCCTTCAACAACAAAACATATGGGTTTCTCCACCTCATTTCCATGACTACTTGTGGTATCTATTATTGCTTCATTTTCTTGAAAGAACAGTTCTTCATCCTCCCCCCAATATCATCTTCTTTACTATCTTGTTGTGGTAGTTCATCTATACTACGTGCTTTTGTCTTGACAACAGCCCACCAATCTTTCAAATCTTTTGTCATTGAAGGATATGGTTCATAATACACTTGAGTAGCTTGTGATGCTAGGATAAATGAATCATTGTTTCTTAGCCTTGATTTGTATTTAATATCAACCAAATTATCCTTACGGTCTACGTTTACCCCTTTATCAACATCAAACCATATACACTTGAACAATACAACAACACAACGTCCTACACCTTGATATTCTACTTCTAAGACCTCATCCAATAAACCGTAGTAGTCACACTCATTCTCATCGTAACAACTTCCTTTCACACATACACCACTATTGTGTGTGACCCACCCATAAACATATTTTTCAGTGTGAAACTTGTAACCATTGACAAAATAACATTTATGTGACAAAACATGGCGCAATGGTCCTCGTGGAAGTCCTTTAAGATTTGGATCAATACCATATGATTCTTGAGAAACTTATAATCAAAACAATAATCATTAACTGAACTAAATTGTATAGTAGACCATCGGGTAATACATGCTTTTTTACAATACCCACATGTTTTTGGAACGACTCAGCAAAATGTTGATCCCTAAACCTCGCAAGTGTCTCTTGATCTATATGTGGTTGTCCTTGGCTTGCAAAATTTTCAAACAACCTTCACAGATAACAAACCACAGTTTTAGAATACTATGGCATCAAAATTTTTTTTAACTTGAATACCTAATGAAAGGGTGAACCTCTACACAATTAATCAAGATATAATTATGATCAATGCGTATCTCTTCATCACTCAAGGCCCTATGTTGGCCACCTTTTTCAAATAATCTTCGAGATGGAACTTTAAAAATACTTAATCAAGAGTCGACCCTGTTATAACTAGGAATGTCTGGGGCAAAATTTCGTGACTCGCGGTTCAGTCGTGTTTCTATTGTAGGCTTAAAGTATTGGGAGCAAAACATAGATACTTCGTCGACAAGATGAGTTTCAACAATTGACCCCTCCACCTTTGCTTGGTTTTTAATCTTTCTTTTGATTGATCCAAGCTTCCTAAATAGATTTTGAAAATAAATGTTATCAATTTCATATAGTTTTATGATCATCACGAGAAATAATTTATAAAGTACATAAACTACCTTTCATAAAGATAGATCCATCTATACTGAACCGGGCCACCAAGAATAGCTTCATGAGCCAAATGTACAACAAGGTGTTCCATGGAATCAAAAAATCCTGGTGGCAAGTTTTTTCCAACATGCAAATGGTTTCAATAATTGTCTTTTGCAAGTGCTCTAACTCAACTATGCATAACACCCGTGAGCATATCACACGAAATAATGTGCACATTTCTATTATCGCATTCCATATTGGATTTGGCAGCATCCCTTTTAAAGCAATTAGTAGCAACCTTTGCATAAACACATGACACTCATGACTCTTGAAGCTATAAAAGAGATTATCTTCAATGTTAACACAGCCCCCCAAGTTTGATGCATACCCGTCAGGAAATTTAAGTTTTTTTAACCATGCACATATTTTACCTACTTGTGGTTTGGTCAACGTGAATGGTGCTCTATTTTTCATATCCTTGTTCCCTTGCTTATAGATATGTATATGCTCTCGGTTGCAGTACATTTCTACATCTTTTCTTGCATTGATATTGTCTTTCGTTTTTAAAGTGTCAAAAACAGTGTTGAAAAAATTTTCAAACACAATTTTCTCGATATGCATTAAATCAAAATTGTGCCAGATTAGCAAAGTTCGCCAATATGATAGCTCCCAAAAGATGCTTCTTTTTACCCAATTATGAGTGGTCCCAAACCCAGACAGTTTCTTATTTTTTGCTCTGTAAGGAACGCCTTCATAAACAGTTGGAAAGTGTCGTACTTGCTCCCAAATTTGATCACCAGTTAAGACCTTTGGTGCTTCAGATCGCATGGCCTTTTGAGATAGAAATCCTTGTCGGTCTTTTCTATATGGGTGTGACATTGGTAAAAACTTTTGATGACAATCAAACCAACATGGTTTATCTCCATGATGCAGCCGGAATGACCCTGACTTACCCATACAGTATGGACATGCTAACTGACCATGTGTGCTCCATCCAAACAACATTGTATACGCCGGAAAATCACTAACCGTCCATAAAAGCATAGCTCTCATAGTGAAAGTTTCTTTGTATGAAGCATCGTATATAGCAACACCATCATTATACAACATTTTCAACTCGTCTATTAGTGGACGAAGAAACACATCCAAATTTTGACCCGGGCACTTTTTTCATGAATAACCATACTTAACTGAACATACGAGTCTTTTAAGCACATCCAAGGAGGTAAGTTATAAATTGAAAGAAATACGGGCCAACATGAATATGGACTCGAATTTGAGTTATTTGGACTAAAGCCATCAGTACATAAACCAAGACGAACATTTCGTGGCTCACAAGAAAATTCCGGATGCATCAAGTCAAAATGCTTCCACGCTTGACCATCACTGGGATGCGCCATCAAACCCGGTTCTGTACGATATTCAGAGTGCCAAGTCATATGCTTGGCTGTTTTTTTGTCACATACAACCTTTTAAGTCTAGGAGAAATTGGCAAGTATCTCATCACCAAATAAGGAACCAAACTTCGTGTACCGCTCTTGTAACAATCATGACTACAAACTCTACAACGAGTCAAATTAGAGTCAGCCCCATAGTACAATATGCAATGATTTTTGCAAGCATCAATTTTTTTTATCGGGGAGTCTAATTTTCTTCAAATTCTTCTTTGTATCGTAGAAGTTTCCAACTAGTTTCTCATTTGGAGGTAGCATTTGCTTCATCATTGGAAGTACATGATTATACGCAGCTTGAGAAGTATTGAAGTTTGACTTCCATTTCAACAACTCTGATGCTGCTTGTAACTTTGAATAACTTTCGCACCCCTCCCATAAAGGTTCATCAACATCAAGGATCATATCATCAGTAGAACCCACTGCATCCATCACCATATGTAAGCACCCATCAAAATAATCATCATCCATAGGATTAGACGGCTGCACCTCATGCTGAAATATTCTAGTTTTTTCACCATGTGCCCACCAAGTTGTATAATTAACAAGTGGAGCTTTACATCATCTCTTGTTTTGTAGGGCATATTTTTTCATTTACTACAAGGACACTTGATACAATTCTTATCAACAACTGCTTCATTGGAAAAAGCAACATCCAAAAAATGGTCAACAGATTCTTTATATGTTTCACTAAGATACCCATCTTCTTTTCTTTTATACATCCATCCCCTATCAATATGTGTTAGACATAATGATCACCTATGAAGCCAATTAATTATGATATACATTACATGACTAGAAACAATGAAAGGAAAAATGGGGCGGTTAAGAAAAATACATAAGACAAAAAATCTTCACAAAAAATCATAAATTCATTTTTGGAATAATCATTTATTTTGTAACTAGGTGTGATACCCATGTGTTACACGAGTTTATTAAAAATAATAATATCAAAGAAAGGTTGTTTTATGTTGTGCGAAGGCCAAGAGACAAGCTGAAAAGAAGAGAGAAGAAGTGAAAGCTAAAGCTAAAACGTTAGAAGATGAAAGAGATGCAAAAGAAGCATCAGGAGCAGCTAGGACGGAAAATCAAAGAAAGGTTGCTGATGCATTTTACTATCTTCTTTTGGCGAAAATATTCCCTTAATTTTTTTATATTGAAAGGCATTCTAGACATTTTATAATGTTCCTTTTTAGTATATTAATTCATATTTGTAGAAATGGGTTTTTTAGTTTATATATTTCTTAATGTATCCGGTTAGTAAAATAAAAGAGTTATGAGCTTATTTCCCATTAAGTATTGTATGTAAGGATAAATTTACATTCATAAAATTTAACTTTCTTAATTTCTCTTTATAACAGAAGGCAAAAATTTACATTCATAAACCCTCAACGTATAAATAGTTAATTATATTAGGTTACATTAATAATTCTAAACGACCAAAATAGCCTCAACAAATTCAAATATGCAACTTTTGTTTACATTTTAAAAAATGAATACATAATATATTTGATCATCAGATAAATCATGTTTTATGGATTGTAAGATTGTACGTCAAAGTAGGATGCTATATATAACATGAAGTCAATAAAAAAATGCATAAATTTTAAGGTTTAGTGTAAAGGTTTATAACTATATGGTGTAATAAAGAGATGAAAGTAAATAAGACTGTATAGAAATGGTCGAAGTAGAAGTGAAAGTAAGATGCTATAACAGGAAGTAGGGGGAGATTGTTAGAACCTGAAAGTGAACCTCTAGCAATCCCAATCCGAAGTCAGTCAGAGTTCCAAAGTGTTTTTGATGGTGTCCAAAATTGAAGCTATGCTCCGGAATATCAGTTGTGTCCGGACTTAAAGATATGCTCCGGAAGTGAAGATCGGTGAAGGCATTCCGGAATGGACTATGTGTCCGGAATGTTAGTCTATCTGAATCAATGTTTTATCTTTGTGCATGTATTGTCATTATCATTTAGTTTGATTTAACTTGTCATAG